AGTGGAATAGCTGGATCATATGGTAGTTCTATCCTTGCTTTTTTGAGGAATCTCCCTACTGTTTTCCATAGTGGCTGCACCAGTTTGCACTCCCACCAGCAGTGTATGAGAATTCTCGCTTGGGAATATTTAATTTGAAGTGTTGGTGGATCACTTACTTATATTTAGGTGTTAAGCAGACACTTGGAAATACAAGAATCTCAAAGAGGACATATGATTTATGAGAATGGATGAAATTACTATGGGAGAAAGAGAGGAGAGGAAGGGAGAAGAAAGAAACATCAGAAAGAAACAAAGATTCGAGGAGAAAGTAGGTGCTATCAAGAGAAAATATAGTGAGAACCTGGAGAGTAGGGTACCTTGGACACCAAGGGAAGGGAAGGTTTCCCGAAAGGGTGACTGTGGAAGAAAGCGAGAGGTGCTTTTCTTTACACTGACTTCCTTCTCTTTGGTAATAGAGCCCGGCACCCATAAATGAACTATATTTCCCAGCCTTCTTTACAGCTGGATGCGTTTATTGACATAGTTTGGGACAATGAAATGTAAGCATATATTTTGTGTGTTACTTCCGGATAATCTCCTTGAAAAGGAGAAGGGCATACTTTTACTTTTCCTTCCTGCTGTCCATAATGGCTGGAACTCCAGCAGATAATTTTTGGACCATGAGGTGATCTAAAGAATGGAAGCCACACATCAAGATATGGAGCAGCATACTGGTTCCCTGCCATCAAGGAGCCACCACTCCACCCCTGAAAGACTACCTCTAGACTTATGAATATATAAACATGCAGCCAACCTCAAACAAGAAGTGAGAAAAAAATTATTGGATGAGGGAGTAGAGCACAGGGCTTGTCTCTTATAATGGCTATGAAAACAGGTTCTAGAGTCAAACTAACTCGCTTTAAATCCAGCTTCATCATACATTAACTATGTGACACTGACAAGAAATTTAATAGCTCTAAGCCTCAGCATGTTAATAGAGATATCAAATAGAACCTACCTCATGGGTTATGTGAGAAATGATTTAGAGTATTCATGTAAAGTGCTTCACATGGTGCTTGCACACAGTAGGTGCTCAATAAATGTAAGTGAAAAAAAATCAGGTGGTTCCCGATAATATGGTACACTTTTTAAACCACATTCCATGAAATTTCATTTCAGTCATATTAATTCTGTAGTTTAGAGAAATACAAATTTATATTAAACAAAATACTGAATGTAAAATAATTTTGTAAGCTTTAAATCACTATATAAACATAACATTTTGCCATTTTAACTTGAAGGCATATCACCTTACAATGTGACCTTTAATAACATTGATAAGATATATTTGGTTGATTTTGATACATGCCAAATGATTTATTACCATTACTTTATTTTTGTTTTTACAAAAAGCACAACAATGGAAAACCAGTAGGTCATAATAGGTTGAAGAAATTAGTTTCAAAATCAATGCAGTTTTATAATATTAATAGGGTATATAATGCTATTTAAGGCAGGATTCCCACCCCTCATGTGATACTCTAGATGTCATCTGTTATCTACTTAATCCTCAAAGTGTTATAAAGAAAAATTGGTGACTATAGAACTCTTCATTGCAGCTAACATATTCAATAAAGAATTAATTTGACTTACTCAAGCTCCATTTTAAAGTTTATTCTAGTGGGAGCCAACATGGAGACATGGGAAGAATCCAAATTTTGAAGTCAAATAAATCTTAGTTCAAACATCATAGGTTCCATCTCTCCTTACTAATACCATGGAAATGGTCATATAGTGTAATCACATTAAAACTAGCATTAAACTTCAGCATTAAAACTATTTTACAGGAATTGAGGAACGCTGAATCAAATTCTTTATTTTCTGTTCATATGTACTTATAATTCTGCATTAATATATTTTTTATTTTTTAGCAGCATGCTCATTCTAAACTATTCAAGAAATATTTACCACGATGAGAAATAATGAAAATGATTTACCATTATCATTTAAAAATACTTTACAATTCTGAAATACTGTGTACCACTCTAGTTACTGAACCACAAGAAGGAAGTAACAGCTGGGACAGGAGGAGAGAACAGCTGCAGTGATCGAGGGAATAGGGGGAGGATTTTCACACTAAAAATTTGTTAAAGGAAGACTTTTTTGTTAAGAACGCAGAATTCTGAGAGACCAAGCATTACAAAGTCACGAAGAGTGTAGAGGCTGTACCTCAGTGGTGTGATATTAGACAGGATCTGGCCACGAGTCCCAGAAACACTAGAGTCTTGCCGTTGATCAGCTATGCCTCTCCATGAGGTCTTTGAGGAAAGAACCGCACTGAGGAGGCAGGCAAGATAAACACTGCATTCCTAGCTGGCACAAGGGTCTTAAGGTCACAAACTCTCCTTTAGAGATCTATAAATGAGCTAAGACAGACCCTCTGAAGAACTCCTTTTGTCTAAGTTAGGTTAGGCTTACTGGCCAAAAATCAAATCAGACAGACAGCAGATAAGTGCTTTACCACTTCCATTCCCAATCTCAAAGGCAAATCTATCCAAGGAAAGAGTAAGCGAGGCTGTTGCAGACAAGAAGAGCCAGGAGGAGGATGTGAGAGTCTGCACCAATGCCTACAGCAAAGATGGCCTAGACCTGAATTTGTTTCTGGGTTTACATTCTTGTTTGGGCCATGGGCAAATGATGTGCTTAAGGAATATCCAACCGTAGGTTAATTCACAAGCACCACTGGACCATCCTCCAAAGCATACAGATTTTTCTCCTTTTACCTCTCTGACTCTTTTCTTCACACTATATCACAAAGTCTAATAATAAATGTATTCCAGATCTCAATGGGTAACTGCAGCAGCTTGGGAAAATAAGGTTTAAATAATTTTGAGAGAGGGCCGGCCCTGTGGCTTGGTGGTTAAGTGCGTGCGCTGCGATGCTGGTGGCCCGGGTTCGGATCCCGGGTGCGCATCGAGGCACCACTTCTCCGTTCATCCTGAGGCCGAGTCCCGCATACAGCAACTAGAAGGATGTGCAGCTACGACATACAACTATCCACTGGGGCTTTGGGGGGAAAAAATAAAATAAATAAAATCTTTAAAAAAAAAAATAATTTTGAGAGAACTATGAGGGCGACTGCAAGAATGCAAGGAGAATTGCAGTTAGTGAGAAAGGATCACTGATCAGTGTCCAGTTTCTTAGAAGGAAGACGAGGTTTCCAAAGTACTGCAATATTTGTTTTTTTATAATTTTATACATCTCTCGTCACCTTTTGTTATGGATTATACATGTCTTTCTCCATCAGATATAGAATGCCTGAGGATAGGGGCTTTCTTATATCTTTATATCCCCATAACCTAGCAGGGTACTGAATCTATACTCTATGCCAATCAGTGTTTTTAAGTGAATAAATAATTATTCACCTAGCCATTGAGTAGGAAAATATAAGGTATTACAGATACATTCTTGAGAAGCATACAGCCTCGCACAGAGAGCATTCTAACATACATGTAACAATTAAGCCACAATAAATGACCTACAGAATTGAGTATCAAATTGTGTTCTACAGAGTTATAAATACTCTAAAAATTTATAGTAGGAACAAATTAAAGTACTGTAGCTGATTTGGGGGTTAGGCATGATCAAAACAGGATTTGTTTACGTCTCTAAGAATGATTAGAATCTGGATAGGATCCCGCTGAAAACACAGCCTGAGACAATTCTGAGGTGGATTCTCCACACAGACTCCTTAAGACCTTTGCAGAAGCCTTTTGCAGATTCCTTTCGCCTAACGTTAAGAGACCCATTGGTTTAGAGGGTGGACTGGGCTTTCTCGCTGCCTTCGCCCGGCTCTATGAACAGTCAAGGCTGCTGTTGCCTGGCACCTGACAAGAGGCGGCTTTCGGTCACCTGCACTTGCATTGCTGGGGTTGGTGAGCTTTTGGTCTCCTTCACCCCGTTCCCTGTTTCTCGTCACCAGCACATGCTGGCTTTCTCTTTGCACAGCCTGGCTTATGTACAGGATCAAGTCAGAGGTGCTCTCCCTCTGTGAGGGCGAGCATAGTCGTAGTAGGAGTTGGGGGTGAGTTCGCGGAACCCAGGCTCTGCTTGGCGCTAAAGCTTTGCTTTTCTTGCACAGTTTTTGCTAGTCTCTTGCCAGCAGCCCTAACTGATTTACAGGGGACAAGAATCACAGTCAAGTTAGCCCTGACCCGTTCTAACATGTTTTCTAGAGCTTTTCTGGCGCGTCCGGGACCTAACAGCCGTTCGCGCAGTAGAGCAGCGGCAAGGCTGGGCTCCGCCCCCTCCTTCAGGACGCGGGAGCGCGGGGCGGAGCGAGCGGGGAAGTCTCGCGGCCCAGTGCGCATGCTCGGAGAGCTCGGCCCGGGAAGAGCAGTCAACCTCTCTCCCAGAGACTTCTGGGGCGGAGGGAAGTGGGCGGAGTCAGGGCCGGAAGCAGAGGGGCGGGCGCATATTCCTTGATGTCATTGGGAGGAACGCGTCAGCTCTCGGCTCGTTGAACAGATGATTGTGTGGGATGTCGTAACTCTGGTCGCGCTCCCTTCCACTTTACCAAGGGGCTAGAAATCGACCTGAGGGAAATCTGACAGCAATGAGCAGGTGGGGAGGTAGCCCGTATGCTAGCTGCTGCACTTACGGAAGGTCTGCCCGCGCCTTCTCAGACTGTTGTCTGCTTCCTTTTGCTCCACACCTGCTCTAGCCGCCTGTTTTTATCCCTTTTCAGCCGCTCCCCGCCCCCCCCCCCCCATTATGTATGATCGGGCTCCTCGCTTGCTCAGACTGGCTGAAGGTGGCAGCACTGAGGATCATGTGGGGCCTGGATCCTACCAGGTACCTTTCGTGAAGCAGCAGGCCGCAGGTAAGACGCAGGGAGAGGAGCCTTCTGTGGCAGGCACCTCACTCACAGCCTGCCCGCTTGTGTGTGCCTGCGGGTTAAACGTAGTAGTACCACTTCATACATACAACAAAACACGAAGTAGGCGTGGAAAAGACTCTCCATATTTTACAGGTGATAACTGGTAAAACCGTTTGTCCCATTTGCCAAGGTCAGTGAACGTATGTCTAGGACTGGATTGATTCTACATTGATCGTTGATTCTACAAGGATCGTCTACATCGTACTTTCAGTTGAACAGATTAGATCTAGGATTTTGATTTCCTGGCTCCAAATCTTGTATACTTCTTACCCCCTACTGTCTCTCTTCTTTGTAAGCCTGTCTGCCTCATACGCCTATTTCTACCGTTAACCAGAGAAACATTTGTTTACTAAAATAAAGCTTTTATATTTCTATTTTGCAATATCATTTTAAGATAGTCCCGTGTATTTTTTCAGATAGATGATTCCTATCTGACCATACTCATTTCTCTGAACGTGCTGAATGAGACCTTTTATGTCACTTTCTGTAAAGAAAAGCTATACTCTTGAGAGATGGAGTGGGGATGGATAATTTAAATAATCATCTGCTCTCCTCATTTGTTTGCAGGTAGTGACTTAAGGGAAACTTTTAGTAAATACTTCCAGTTTGCTTTCTGCTTTTGCTAATCTGATGATTTTGTGGAGCATGATACCATCCAAATTATAGTTTTTCCCTTGTTAACTTGCATTTTCCCTATTCCTACACTATTTATTTTTAAACAAAGGCCAGGATCCATCACTCTTGATATGACTGATCAGATTAGGGTATTAAACCTAATACCTAATTAAACCTAATACCTGTTAAACCTAAAACCTAATACCTAATACCTAATTCTTTGGGTGGAGTACAGATTCGTCACGTCATCGTTTTAATGTTGTATTTTACTGCTTTTCAGCGTCTGATATTGATATCAGTGTTCTTGGAGCTTATTATGTCTCTCTTTATTTAATGCAGTTGAGTTAAAACCATTAACTCCCTAACAATTTACTAGCCACAGCAACCATCCAAAATGCTTACACTTGTGATACTTTTCAATCCTTATTTTATATTGACACAACTGTCCACTGTCTTTTTAGAAATATTTCTTCCCCTGTAACATCAGCATCTTTTCCTATTTCCCCCTACCGCTGCCCCACCAACTATTGGCTTGGCACAGTGCCTGATACATGGTTAGAACCTAATAACAAATAAACAAATTTGTTAAATGATGAATCAGGGTGTCATTTTTTCCCTCTGCAACCAATCCTTCATAGTCTTCTTTAAAGGTTTTTATTTTTGTAAACACCCTTTAAATTTTTATATATTGCACTTTCCATCCTTTGCTGTGGCATTTCTCATGTGTACTTTCTCATTCAAATCCATAGCTTCAACTACTATCAATATTCTGAGTCTGATGACTCCCAGAAGAAAGTCTTTAGGCATATAGGTGATTTATGTCTTTAAGATTAGCTTTCTTCTGATCTTAAGGCTTTCAGCATCGCTGGTTACTTTTTTGCAAATCTCTGTCTAGGTGATCTCTGGCATCTGAAATTCCAAGCGTCTGAACTCATCATTTTCCCCACCATTACTGGCCCCTTCGAAAAAATTCCCTATCAGTCAATTATAAACGTTAAGCTTTGCAATTATTCTAGACTCGTTCTTCTCTGACTGACCCACTCCCATTGATCATTAAGACGTATTGATACTATCTTTTCAGTATCTCTCAAATTGGTCCCTTTTCTTCATTTAACTGCCCTTCACTTAGTTCAGGCCTCATTATTTCTATTCTAAAATAAACCAATAAAATATTACTGGTTTCCCTCTATTTCAGTCTCCAATCCAATTTCAGTCTCCAATCCAATTGATCTTTCTAAGATATAATTATGTTATATTTTTTAAAAAAATTCCTTTTAACACTAAAGGTAAAATCTGAACTCCTTACCGTGGTGCATAAGATTCTTCATGATCTGATCCCTGACCTGGTCTTCCACTTTACCTGATCTTTTTAGGCAACCACACCTCCATCAACAGGTAACCTACATATCAGCAATTCCAGCTTTGCATTTTCTATAAGTTCATGCTCACTCACCTCCAGGCCTTTGTACCTACTGATAGTTTTGCTCAGTGTGCTCTCTCTTCCTTTCTCACCTGGCTAATTCCTACTTATTCTTTGAGACTTGGGTAAAGTGAAGTTGTTCTATGACTCCATTCTTTTTCAAATTTTTCTTCTTTGACTACTTAATGACTCTTTCATATACTATATTGTAATTATCTGTTAATTTATCTGGCTGCTGCCCTAAAATGTGAGCTTCTTGAGAGCAATAACCTTGATCTTTACTCTGTGATTCTCGGTTTTAAGCTCAATACCATAACACATAAGTGCTTAATTTTTAAAAAATAACAGAGTAATTCATGAAATAAAGTTAAAAAAATCTAATGAGCTACACATAGCAAAATGAAAAACTCTCATAACATCACTTGTGTGAACTCTGCTTAGAGAGCAGTAAGTAGGGTGTTGCAAGGCCCTTCTTTTATTGCTTTATAGGATTGTGCCTTGTTTACCTACAAAGGAAACTAGGAAGTTCCATGCTTGGGAACTTTGGGCAGCTGCATCCTATAGATCCCTGTTTTAGCACTACTCAGCAATGACATCCTGATGATAGATAGAAGGTACAGGTTTCTCTGTAGTCATTTCTGTATCGGATTCCCTGGCAAGATAATTTAAAAGTAGCTACTATCTCTTTCCTAGGTACATTCTCCCTTACCCGTTTTTAAGACCAGTAACACACTGGACTATGCAGAGGTATACACAGTTATTTCAATTAAGGGACAGGTAGATTTTACAGAGTATGATATAGGAAGAGCAGATATTAGGACTTTATATTGCTTACCTGTTACCTTGAACTACACAAGAGGAGAGGACCTTAGAGTCCTAGATCTTCAAAAGAAGGATGTAGATGCTCATCATTCCCAACTTTTCTGTCTCCTAATTACCACTCTCCTCTTACTGTAGCCTACTTGGTCAATCCTCCACTGTATAGTTTCCACATATTCCTCAGGAAATTCTTTCCACCCTGATTTGCAAACTACATTGCCTCTGCTTTTGGCCATTTGATCAAGGAGATTCTTTTCTACCCAAGATGTGCAGTCTGAAAGGGGCAGGATTGAGCTGCTTTGATTTCATGAGTGGGCGAGATAATGGATATTCCAATTCTAGATTAGTGAGAGCTGGTCCTGATTTTCTCACAATTATCTGAGGAGCAAGCAAATTTAACTCATCAAAGCAAAATTTCCCCAGAGACAGCCAACCTAGTAAAATATGAGAAAAACATGGTCCTTTTAATAATATGACTTCTCTTGGCATTATTGTGCAAAGGAGTATTTCATTGCTTTTTGAGCTTGATTTACATAGTAAATGGCACTCCACATTAGCTGTATATTAGTTATCTATATTGGTTTTATATTAGTTATCTAAGCTGGGTGACACCAGCTCCCAAACATCTTCTTTCGCAGATTTCTTCTTTGAGTGGAGAGAAAGCTTTATCACCCCCAGATTATCTTCTTCTGGTTAGCGTTATCTGCCACAGAAGATGAGCCGTCCGTGGTCTTGTGCTCATGCCCATGTGCTTCTGCCAACAATAATGATTCTGTCTCATTAGCCAATCAGAATTTAGGGAGACTACCTCAGAGAATGCAATCTATCTTTAAGTTTAAATAAACAATATGCATGTGATTGCTTTATATTTTGATGTCCCTGAAGATGAGTACATGTTTCAAAGATCTAGTTAATTGCTTTTATGTGAAGAATGCCCTCTTTGTTTTGTGGCTGTAGTTGTGGCTATAGAACTTGTCCTTGAATTGCATGCTGCCCACCTTCTCTCAGGATGGACTGACTTTTGTTGCTTAATGCCAGTGTGGTTTATCTTCTGCTTTTGACTCCTCAAACTCAGTATATCTCAAACTGAACTTACTTCTTTCTTCTCAAATCTTTTCCGCTCCTATATTCTTAATTTCTTCTTTCTATCTGACAGTTTGATTTATCGCTTGTAGTTGCACTTCATATGTCAATATATTCATACGGCCCAAATCAAACTTTTTATCTTATACGCCACCAACCCTAATTTCCCAGAACTCTCTTCCCCTATATTTTATACCTTAATTATCGGCAGCACTGTTTGTAATGTAATTATTTGTTTATTTGTCTGGCTTCCTCACTATTTGAGGCCAGGGTTTTAGCTTATTCATTATTGTGCCCTTGCTGCCTCTCTCTGACACATAAAAAAGCATTTACTGTTGTTGACGGAATGGCTAATGATGTTATTTAGAATATCACCTATTAATTCTATACTTATTATTTAATATGCAGGGCACTATTGTTACCACATCAGGTCCGTTTTTGCCCGCTGCCCAGAAAGCCAATCACCAAGACGACAAGATTGCAGAGAGAGAGGGTTTAATCACAAGGCAGCCTAGTGAGGAAAACGGGAGAACAAGTCTCAAATCTGCCTCCCCGAAAATGGGGACTCAGGGGTATTTATGGGAAAAGGGGCAAGGTGGTCTGAAGTGATTGGAGGTGAGGAGAGATGAGGTAATTGATCTGCGCAAGGTAGTCAGCCTTCATGCCTCTTCGTAGTAGGATACATGTTCACAGAATGGCAGCATTAGCGTGCCCTGAGGGTGGAGTTCCAACCTCTTGCCATCAAAAGGGCCCAGTTGATGGGTTGGTGGTCTCAATCCGGCCTGAAGTGGACAAGGGGTTCAGTTCCTGTAAAAATAGCTCCTGAAAAAATAGTCACCATCCATTACCATGGTGACCCCGACTCCAGGGGTATGTTACCTGTAGGAACCTAGTGGGAGTCAGATAGCATATTACCTAAACAGCACAGTTAACAATGGGTAAGTTTATCATGCAGATTTAAGTCCTCATCTTCTGTTCTGATAAGTTTCTAGGTAAGGCCATCCCCACCTTCTTCCTGGTACAGGGAAGAAGATACCTTTACAGATGGAGATTTTCTTTACAAATGTAAATATCTCTCGTAAAGGGTAACCAGAACTAAGAATGAGCTTAGCATGGACCCACCCAGACACCGGAGATGTCTGTGGTGATGGCCTGTTCTGGGGGCAGGCCTCCCATCCCAAACTCCTTTGGTTAGTTAGTGGGGGTGGGGACCAAAATGTCATTCAGGCAGAGATATATTTTGAATTTGCAAATTCCAATCCCCCAGAGTTACTAGCTGCTTAATCATCAATGGCTGTTTGCCAGTTTCACTATGCTAGGGTGACCAACCATCCTGGTTTATTTGGGAATGTACTGGTTTTAGCACTAAAAGTCCTTGTCTTGGGCAAACTAGGACAGTTTGTCACCCTAGCTGTAAACATTAGATATACAGTTATGAATAAAACAGAAAAATCCCTTCTCTCGTGGAGCTTATCAGTAGAAACATTTTAATTTTCTCAAGGTTTTACTTGAGCTCAATATTTCATATAAACCTTTAGCCTATTGCTGAAAATTTTTATATAATTAATTTTGGAAAACTTCAATGAATATTTTATGAGTACTGGCTTTCTTGCATACATGGTGCTATTGTGTATTTGTTTTTTCCATTTTCATGTGAATTTCAGTATTTTGCAATGAATTTTACATTTGTTTAGGTAGATTCAGTTGGAATCTCTGCCATGTTCTGATGACAGCTGCCTGGGAACTAGCCTGAGCTGAGCTTTCTTGGTTTTCCTATCTCACATTACCTTCATGTCTGTATGAACCTAAATTAAAAAAACCCTTTAATTGTGAGATGAAAACTTTTGCAGAAAATTGCATAAAATATAAATGTATGGCTTAAAAAATGAATACTCAAATCAAGAAATATAACATTGCCAAATTTTCCTTTTCAGTTATAACACTTTCCCTCTCCTCTACAGATAAGCACTATTTTGATTTTTATGGCAATCGCTTCCTTGCTTTTCTTTATGGATTATTAAATCCTCTTGGTGAAATGACACGTTTATCAAGTGAAATGTCTCTCTTATCCCTGGTATTTCTTGTTCTAAAATCTGCATTGTCTGATTTTAATATAGTCACTCCAGCTTTCTTTGATTCATGGATGCGTGGTATATCTTTTTTCATCCTTTTATTTTTAACCTCTGTGTCTCTATGTTTTAAGAGGATTTCCTATAGATAGCATAAAGTGGGGTCTTGCTTTTTAATCCAATCTGACAATCTCTGCTTTTTTAATTGGAGGTGTTTAGAACTTTTCCATTTAATTTAATCATCAATATTGTTATGTTTAAATTTACTCTCTTGCTGTTTTCTATTTACCTCATCTGTTCTTTGTTTCTCTTTTCTTTTTTCCCTACTTTCATCAAGTGCGTTGTTTCTTTTTTTTTTAAATGGTTCTATTTTATCTCCACTATTGGTTCACTAGATACACATCTTTGTTTTATTTTTTAGTGATTGCTCTAGGGTTGATAACATATATCTTTAACTTATCACAGTCTATCTTCAAATAGTATTATACCACTTCACGTACAGTATATGAGCCTTATGACAGTGTGCTTCCATTTCCCCCATCTCATCCTTTGCGCTATTGTGGCCATGTATTTTACTTCTACATATGCTATAATGCCACAATAAATTGAAATTATTTTTGCTTTAAACAGTTAATTATTTTTAAAGGGATTAAGAGTTGAGAAAAAAATGTCTATTTACCCACATAAAATTTGTTGTTAATCCCATCCAGTGTACTTTTCATTTCAGAAGTTTGATTTGGGTCTTTTCATATCTTCCTTTTCTTCCTCATTATGTTCATCTTTGTTCTACCTTGTTGAACATGTGGAGACTATTTATAATAGATACTATAATGTTCTTGTGTGCTGATTCCATCTTCTTATTTCTAGATCTGTTTCTTTTCGTTGACCTTTCTCCTGTTTGTAAGACGTATTTTCCTGCTTTTTGGAAGGACATTTTCTGGTAGTTTGCACTATTCACTTTATGTAATCTGTAGCTTGGGGTGTGTGCTTTGTGTGTGTTGTGAATGAAATCTGTATCTTGTTCTTTGGTTACTTACGCCAATTTGGAACATTTCACTGGTGTCTTGGGTTTCTCAGCTCTACTGGACAACACTTGCCTTTTCAAAATGAACCTTGGCTTCCTTTTAAGGATTTCTGTTCTTGTAGTCTTTGTTACTATTCAAAGGTGCTTTTGTTTTTTTTTTTGGCTTTGGGACAGCCAATTCAAACCATCAGTCACTGAATTAACACCCAGATTTGACATAGTTGTGAAGCTTTTTCTAATCTCCTCAGTGTAGATGAGAATTTACACTCTTTTTGACCTTCTGGCATTTTGCACTTGAGATATTTTTCATTGTTTAAAATTATTTTAGTACTTTGAATGCTTCAATAGATTGTTGCTTTTTTAAGGGTAAGGTCTGTATTTTACTCACCTCTTTTCTGCTGCAATATCTAACACAAATAAATAATTCTTAATTTCAGTTGCATTTTAATGTAGGTGGGCCTTAAATGAAGCACATTGTTTCTAGTTTTACAAAGAGTATCTTTTATTATTAGTCCAAATTAGCAAGATTTTAAACTATACTAATTATCACCATAAATTCTCACAGTAGCATACATTTTCCTTTAGTGTACACGATTCTCACAAGTTTTGAGTCCTCATTTTCATTCTCTTATCTGTTGAATATAGCTGCTATATTCTCTCCCATCTCTTCTTCAATATCTATGTTGCTTAAACTGTACTCATTTTCTTGATACATTTCTTGAAATTTTCTATCAGTCAGCACACTATCTGTCTGTCTACTAAGTTTATCTACTAAGTTTGTCTAATCTTATGATTGCTTGTTCCAATGAAATTTGTATCTTGGGTTTGTAAACCTTTGTTTGGGGTCAAGCAATCAAGAAATATTTAGAGTGCCGACTATGTACCAAAGTAAGGAGATGTTATTAATTACTTGCTATAAACTCACTTTAAATTATTTCTATCTAGGCTGTCTCTACAAATTTATATATGGTATTCTCTACAAACAATAGATGCTATTTCAAAATATAAAACAGTGGTCTTCTGAGGATGAAAATATTTTATCAGCTAAATATAACTGTCATTTTCATCCCAACCAAATATGCTTAGAAGAAAAAATACTTTTGTTTTTAATTTTCTTTAGGTATTTTTTTTTCTGTGGTTTAGTAAGTCCAGTTCTGTGGGTTCTCATATTTAATATATATTAATAAAACTCCTATTCTTACATCAGAATTTTAAAAATGCAACAACTTCTGTGGCTAGCCATTCGTTCTGATAATATAGTTTCAGCAATTGAGGTTACTAAATGATTTTGTATATTTTGAGTGCTTTTTCTCTGAAATCATTGAAATCCTATCTTATCTGCCAATGATGTAATTTTACTTTTATAGGTAGCTATGCCCCATTCCTTTCTTCAGCTGCCAGAGAAAGTACTTTTACTGTTGCCTCTAATACTGAGAAAGCTGTTCCAGGTCCAGGACACTATAATGTTTCAGAAGCACAAGTAAGTTTATAATAGTAATTATAATTGAGTTAATAATAATCATGCTTTCTTCCTCTAATAGACTACCATGTCATTTGTCATATTTTATTTTCCCTTCATATCATCTTCTTTCTACTTTCAATCTATATTTTGTAATTAGAATAAGAGGAAATAAATGTGTTCGATGTTGATTGTCTGGTTGGTGTTCTTCATTATTCTATATAATCTATAAGACATAAAACATTGTTACATGCTTCATGGTCTTTGAGACTCTTGAGGGAGAATAGGACTATTGAATGAATTATAGCCCATAAAAGTTATGCAAATGGTCAAGATATGTAGAAGAGGGATGGCAATAGGAATTGATTTGTGTGCCATACTCTAAAGCTATAGCTATTGCCATTGTCTCATCTGTCTCCTGTGTCAGTATAGTCTCAAGAGTCTGTGACCAGAATATCTTTTTTTTTTTTAATTGTGGTAACATTGATTTATAACATTATATAAATTTCAGGTGTACATCACTGTATTTCAATTTCTGTGTAGATTACATCATGTTTACCACCCAAAGATTAATTACAATCCATCAGCATACACATGTGCCTAATCACCCTTTTTGCCTTCCTCCCTCCCCCATTCCCCTCTGGTAACCACCAATCCAATCTCTGTCTCTATGTGATTGTTTGTTGTTGTTTTTATCTTCTATTTATGAGTGAGATCATATGGTATTTGACTTTCTCCCTCTGACTTATTTCGCTTGGCATAATACCCTCAAAGTCCATTCATGTTGTCACAAGTGGCCAGATTTCATCTTTTTTTTTTTTTGTGGCTGAGTAGTATTCCGTTGTGTATATATACCACATCTTCTTTATCCATTCGTCCCTTGATGGGCACCTAGGTTGCTTCCAAACCTTGGCTATTGTGAATAATGCTACAATGAACATAGGGGTGCATGTATCTTTAAACATTCGTGTTTTCCTGTGCTTTGGATAAATACCCAGCAGTGGAATAGCTGGATCATATGGTAGTTCTATTCTTAATTTTTTGAGGAGTCTCCATATGATTTTCCATAGTGGCTGCACCAGTTTGCACTCCCACCAGCAGTGTATGAGAGTTCCCTTTTCTCCACATCCTAACACTTATTATTTCTGGTGTTGTTAATTATAGCCATTCTGATGGGCGTGAGGTGATATCTCATTGTAGTTTTGATTTGCATTTCCCTGATAATTAGTGATGTTGAACATCTTTTCATGTGCCTGTTGGCCATCTGTATATCTTCTTTGGAGAAGTGTCTGTTCAGGTCTTTTGCCCATTTTTTAATTGGGTTGTTAGTTTTTTTGTTGTTGAGATGTAGGAGTTCTTTATCTATTTTGGAGATTAACCCCTTATGAGATATATGGTTTGCAGATATCTTCTCCCAATTGTTAGGTTGTCTTTTCGTTTTATTAATGGTTTCCTTTGCTGGGCAGGAGTTTTTTAGTTTGATGTAGTCTCATTTGTTTATTTTTTCTATTGTTTCCATTGCCTGCTCAGACGTGGTACTTGAAAATATGCTGCTAAGACTGATGTCGAAGAGTGTACTGCCTATGTTTTCTTCTAGAAGTTTCATGGTTTAAGGTCTTACAGTCAAGGCTTTAATCTATTTTGAGTTAATTTTTGTGTATGGTGTAAGATAATGGTCTACTTTCATTCTTTTGCATGTGGCTGTCCACTTTTCCCAACACCATTTATTGAAGAGACTTTCCTTTCCTCATTGTATGTTCTTGGCTCCCTTGCTGAAAATTAGCTGTCCATAGATGTGTGGGTTTATTTGTGGGCTCTCTATTCTGTTCCATTGATCTGTGTGTCTGTTTTTGTGCCAGTACCATGCTGTTTTGGTTACTATAGCATTGTAGTATATTTTGAAACCAGAAAATGTGATACCTCCAGCTTTGTTCTTTTTTCTCAGGATTCCTTTGGCTATTCAGGGTCTTTTGTTGTTCCATATAAATTTTAGGATTCTTTGTTCTATTTCTGTGAAAAATGTTGTTGGCACTTTGATAGTGATTGCATTGAATCTGTAGATTGCTTTAGGAAGCATGGGCATTTTAACTATGTTAATTCTTCTAATCCAAGAGCACGGAATATCTTTCCATTTCTTTATGTCTTCTTCAATTTCTATCAGCATCGTTTTATAGTTTTCAGTGTACAGATCTTTTACCTCTTTGGTTAAATTTATTCCTAGGTATTTTATTCTTTTTGTTGCAATTGTAAATGGTATTTTATTTTTAATTTTTCTTTCTGCTACTTTGTTGTTAGTGTATAGAAGTGGAACTGATTTTTTAGTGTTGATTTTATATCCTGCAACTTTACCATATTCATTTATTATTTCTAAAAGTTTTTTGGTTGCTTCATTAGGGTTTTCTATATATAAAATCATGTCATCTCCAAATAGTGACAGTTTCACTTCTTCCTTTCCAATTTGGATCCCTTTTATTTCTTTTTATTGCCTGATTGCTCTGCCTAGGACTTCCAATACTATGTTAAATAAGAGTGGTAAAAGTGGGCATCCTTGTCTGGTTCCTCTTCTTAGTGGGATAGCTTTCAGTTTTTATCCATCGAGTATGATATTAGCTGTGGGTTTGTCATATATGGCCTTTATTATGTTGAGGTGCTTTCCTTCTATACCCATTTTATTCAGAGTTTTTATCATAAATAAATGCTGTATCTTGTCAAATGCTTTCTCTACACCTGTTGAGATGATCCTGTGATTTTTATTCTTCATTTTGTTAATGTGGTGTATCCTGTTGATTGATTTGTGAATGTTGAACCATCCCTGCATCCCTGGAATAAATCCCACTTGATCATGGTGTGTGATCTTTTTACTGTATTGTTGTATTTGATTTGCTAATATTTTGTTGAGGATTTTTGCATCAATGTTCATCAGTGATATTGGCCTGTAGTTTTCTTTTTTTGTGTTGTCCTTGTCTGGTTTTGCAGACAAGGTTTCTATGTCAGGGTAATGTTGGCTTTGTAGAATGAGTTAGGAAGCTACCCCCCCTTCTTAAATTTTTTGGAAGAGTTTGGGAAGGATAAGTATTAACTCTTCTTTGAATGTTTGGTAGAATTCACCAGGGAAGCCATCTAGTCCTGGACTTTTATTTTGTGGGAGGTTTTTGATTAATGTTTCAATCTCCTTACTGGTGATTGGTCTATTCAAATTCTCTGTTTCTTCTTGATTCATTTTGGAAGGTTATATGAGTCTAAGAATTTATCCATTTATTCTAGATTATAGAATTTGTTGGTGTATAGCTTTTTGTAGTATTCTCTTTGTATTTCTGAGGTGTCCATTGTATTTCTCCTCTTTCATTTCTGATTTTATTTATTTGAGCCTTCTCTCCTTTTTCCTTTGTGAGTCTAGCTAATGGTTTGTCAGTTTTTTTTTATCTTTTCAAGGAACCAGCTCTTAGTTTCATTGATTTTTTTCTGTTTTTTTTTTAGTCTCTATTTCTTTTATTTCTGCTCTGATTTTTAGTATTTCCTTTCTTCTACTGATTTTGGGCTTGGTTTGTTTTTCTTTTTCCAGTTCCCTTAGGTGCACTCAGAATATCTTTGATGGTCCCTTCATGTTCAAACACAGTGGCTGTAACTCCAATATTATCATAATCAGTAATAGCATCTTTACCTTTTTCACATAAATTTTGCATTCATATGTAATGACTCTGATAACCCTAGCAGACCGTTGTTTCCCCTGTTGAGGCCCAGATGTAGTCATTGTTGCCTTAAATTTTGCATTAGACTTCCTGTATTAATAATAGCAACCATTCTATCCGTTGGGGCTTTTTGGTTGCAAGCCTAAAATAGATTTTTAAGACAGATACTAGGTTTACCATAGAATATTTGTAGAAAATGTACTTGGGTGGCCCATAGACTTGAAGGAAGAATTGAACAGTCAGTTCTTAAGGAAGGACAAGGCTAAGACAATACCAGATATTTCAGTAGTAGGAAGTTCTGCACCATTCAATAGTGAACTGCCATTAGATAACTTAATTCCATAATTTCCTTCCATTTTTCATGTGTGACTCTACTCAAGATTATAATTCCTGGTAGGAAGAATCTGATTGGTCTAGTTTCATTATAGACCCACACCTGTGGTTCCTGGGATAGGGGATCCCATGTTTGGAAACTCCTTTAAAACCACAAAGTATGGGGCAGGTTTGATTGTCACAAAGGTGTAGAATATGCTGTTATGAGCAGATAATAGAAGGGACGATAGACAAATAAAAACAATAGACAATAGATTTCCATTACATTTCACCCCTCTACCGCCCAGTTCTCTTCTGTCTCATGCACATAACACACACACACACACATACACTTCTTCCCATATATGTAATTTTAAAAATGTAATTATTTGATGTATAATTTTAAAATATACCTTCCCAGAATGAGCCAAACTAATGTCTAGTTACTGCATTCAGAGACGATATTACAATGTCACTACCCAATGAATCCTGGATCTCTAGATTAAGGCCATTTCTTCTCTTGTTCTTTCACATTCCTCTTTCATTATTCTGTGACCTGCAGATTAAATGGTAAATATAACATGAGATATTATAAAGAAGTGGTTAGGAGTGTGGACTCTGGAGCTAGGCTACCTAGATTCAAAATCATTATCTGCCACTTATTAGCTGTGAAACTTAATTTTAACCACTTAATCTCTTTGGGCCTGAGTTTCCTCATCTGTTAAGTAGGGGTAATAACTTTGTAGGCTTTTTCTAAGGATTAAATATGTTAATAAGCATTAGAATAGTGCCTGACTATATAGTTAGTTTTCAATAAATTTTAACTATTATTAGTGTTGCCATTTTACAATAGAAGGGGAAAAAAAGAGAGGGAAAATGAAAGAAGCTGATGTAGGAAGCAAGGAAATATAGCTGGGGACCTGTTCTGTTTCTGTAACTGATCACGAGGCTATCGGTAGCTTAAGATTTCCCATTACTCATTCCATGTTCCCCATCTCTTCAACAAAGACTTGATCGTGT